TGAATGAGCTCATGGTTCTGGTTCTGGTCTGGATAACAGAGTTAATGCAAAGATGAGCTGGAGTTGAGTTATTTTATTTATGAATGAAAAGAAGGAAATATGTTTTATTTCTTTTATTTTACAGTTAAATTATTATTTATGTAATTAGGGTTTTTTCTTAAATGTTCCTATATGAACTGTCGACTTCTTACACTTCAATTAAAAAAAAAGGACCTTGTGGAATTTGGCAGATTTGTTTTTGCAGTTTTCAGTTTTAGGGGGTTATTTATTCTTGAACATATATCCAGATATATATCGTATATCCAGATATATATCGTATATCCAGATATATATCGTATATCCAGATATATATCGTATATCGAGATATAGCAAAATATATCCAGATATATTTTTTGATCCGTATCGCCCAGCCCTAGGTCAGAGGGTCAGAGAAGCAGCAGGTCACGTTTCGTTTCGTTCCAGCGTCACAGAGTCCTGCAGAGGTCGACCCACAGACTGAACCCCGGCCCTGCCCCCAGCCCCGGCCCCGCCCACAGCCTCAGGGACCTGAACCGGTCCGGGATCAAGATCCTGGTCCCGAAAAGCCCCATGGTCCAAGTCCAGGAGCAGGATCAGGACCAATCCAGACCTCTGCCAGACTCTGTCCCAGCGAGCAGCCCCGCCCTCGAGGTGAGTCCCACACGCGCCTCGTGTTCTCCTCATGTTCTCTTCATGTTCTCTTCATGTTCTCTTCATGTTCTCATCGTGTTCTTCGTGTTCTCCTCGTGTTCTCTTCGTGTTCTCTTCATGTTCTCCTCGTGTTCTCCTCCTGTTCTGTTCGTGTTCTCCTCATGTTCTCATCGTGTTCTCATCGTGTTCTCGTGTTCTCTTCGTGTTCTCTTCATGTTCTCCTCGTGTTCTCCTCCTGTTCTGTTCGTGTTCTCCTCATGTTCTCATCGTGTTCTCATCGTGTTCTCCTCGTGTTCTCCTCGTGTTCTCTTCATGTTCTCCTCGTGTTCTCCTCGTGTTCTCTTCGTGTTCTCTTCGTGTTCTCCTCCTGTTCTGTTCGTGTTCTGTTTGTGTTCTCCTCGTGTTCTCCTCGTGTTCTCTTCGTGTTCTCTTCATGTTCTCCTCGTGTTCTCCTCCTGTTCTGTTTGTGTTCTCCTCGTGTTCTCATCGTGTTCTCCTCGTGTTCTCATCGTGTTCTCCTCGTGTTCTCATCGTGTTCTCCTCGTGTTCTCATCATGTTCTCCTCGTGTTCTCCACGTGTTTTCCTCACGTTCTCCTCACGTTCATGTTCTTCGTGTCCCCAGACTCAGTGCGTTGGGACTAAAGCCGCTCTGGGACCTGGAGAAGAACGAGCTCGAATGGGGACGAGACCAAGATCCAACCAGAACCAGAACCGGGTCCCTGTGAACCCCGGAGCCCTGAGGCCCGTGTCGGGCTCAGGTCAGTGCAGTGACATGAGCAGCAGACACAGACACAGACTGTGGACTCCAGGTTCTGCTGTTCTTCTGTTCCTGGTCACACTCAGAGATGGAGCTGTGTTCTGTTCCACCTTGTGATGTCATCAAGTGAACAGCTCCTTTTCCCTTTAGTTCAGGCAAGATGAAAACTCCAGGACTGAAATGATCCAGATGATTCTAGTGAAGGTGTGTGGAGTTTAAAAACACAGTGGAGCACTTCCTGCATCACCACATGATGACATCACGAGGTGGTCACAACTCCAGGAAACAGCAGAGCAGAGCAGAGGATTATGGGACATGGAGTCTCTGTAAACTTCTTCAAAACACTTGAAAATAAAACTCATGTGATTAAACGAAAATGTAAATCTCCAGGTGCGGCGCTGTTGGAGGGCGTGGCCAATGGCGGTGGCGTTTCCGCGGCGAAACGGCGCCTGGACGAACGCTTCGACAAACGTCTGCGCTTCAGCGTGAGACAAACGGAGAGCGCCTACCGCTACCGCCACCTGGTGGTCAGGAAGCAGGAAGGATTTACTCACATCGTCCTGTCCACCAGGAACTCGCAGAACAACGCCCTGAACCCCGAGGTCAGACCCAGACCAGGACCCAGACCACGACCAAAACAGGACCGAGACCAGGACTAAAACAGGACTAAAACAGGAACAACGCCCTGAACCCCGAGGTCAGACCCAGACCAGGACCCAGACCAAAACAGGACTAAAACTCTGAACCCCGTGTTTGACTGACAGGTGTGTGTGTGACAGGTGTGACTGACAGGTGTGTGTGATTGACAGGTGATGCGGGAGCTGCAGGGCGTCATGGCGACCGCGGCGTGTGACGACTCGAAGCTCCTCCTCCTGACGTCTGTGGGACCCGTGTTCTGCTCCGGACTCGACTTCCTCTGGTTCCTCCCAAAACTCACCGAGGACCGAAGGAGGGAGAGCGCACGCATGGCCGAGGCCCTGAGGTACACGACACACACACACACACACACACACACACACACACACACACACACGACACACACGACACACACGACACACACACACACACACACACACACACACACACACGACACACACACACACACACACACACACACACACACACGACACACACGACACACACACACACACACACACACACACACACACACACACACACACGACACACACACACACACACGACACACACACACACACACACACACACACACACACACACACACACACACACACACACACACACGACACACACACACACACACACACACACACACACACACACACACACACACACGACACACACACACACACACACACACACACGACACACACACACACACACACACGACACACACACACACAGACACACACACACACACACACACACACACACACACACACACACGACACACACACACACACACACACACACGACACACACACACACACACGACACACACACACACACACACACACACACACACACACACACACACACACGACACACACACACACACACACACACACACACACACACACACACACACACACACGACACACACACACACACACACACACACACACGACACACACACACACGACACACACACACACACACACACACGACACACACACACACACACACACACACACACACACACACACACACACACACACACACACACGACACACACACACACACACACACACACACACACACACACACAGACACACACACACACACACACACACACACACACACACACACACACACACGACACACACACACACGACACACACACACACACACACACACACACACACACACACACACACACACGACACACACACACACACGACACACACACACACACACACACACACACACACACACACACACACACACAGACACACACACACACACACGACACACACACACACACACACACGACACACACACACACACACACACACACACACACGAGACACACACACACACACACACACACACACACACACACACACACACGACACACACACACACACGACACACACACACACACACACACACGACACACACACACACACACACACACACACACACACACACACACACACACACACGACACACACACACACACGACACACACACACACACACACACGACACACGACACACACACACACACACACACACACACACACACACACAGACACACACGACACACACACACACACACACACACGACACACACACGACACACACACACACACACACACACACACACACACACACACACACACACACACACACACACACGACACACACACACACACACACACACACACACACACACACCACGACACACACACACACACACACACACACACACACACACACACGACACACACACACACGACACACACACACACACACACACACACACACACGACACACACACACACGACACACACACACACACACACACACACACACACACACACACACACACACACACACAGACACACACACACACACGACACACACACACACACACACGACACACACGACACACACACACACACACACACACACGACACACAACAAACACGACAAAACACACACAAACACGACACACCACACACACACACAAACACACACACGACGCACAACACGACACACACATACGACGCACGACACACCACACACACACACACACACACACACACACAAACTCATCGAGGTCTGGGTCTGGTCTAAGTCTCGGTCTAAGTCTCGGTCTGGGTATGGGTCTGGGTATGGGTCTGGGTATGGGTCTGGGTATGGGTCTGGTCTCGGTCTCAGTCTAACCCCGCTCTCGGTCTCTCGCAGGACTTTCGTAAACGCCCTGGTGCAGTTCCCGAAGCCGCTGGTTGCCGCGGTGAACGGGCCGGCGGTGGGTTTGGGGGCGGCCATCTTGGGGCTGTGTGACGTGGTCTGGGCCAATGAGAAAGCCTGGATCCAGACGCCGTACGCCCAGTATGGACACACCCCCGACGGGTGCAGCTCCTACACTCTGCCGCTCATCATGGGCCCTGCCGCCGTGAGTACTGGACCTGGACTACAGCGGGACTACAGCGGGACTAAACTCGGACTAAACCCGGACTAAACCCGGACTAAACCCACACTAATGGGGTGTGTCCTCAGGCGGGCGAGCTGCTCCTGGGCGGGCGCAGACTCACGGCGTTGGAGGCGTGTTCTCGTGGTCTCGTGTCTCAGGTGCTCTGGCCTCACACCTTCAACCAGGAAGTACAGCGGCGAATCAGAGAGCTGCTCTCAGCCGACGCCCAGGTGAGTCAGATGCTCCTCCCCCCACACGCTCCTCCCCCCAGACGCTCCTCCCCCCAGATGCTCCTCCCCCGACATGCCCTCCTCCTCCTCTCTCTGTCTCGGCTTCTTCTCCTGTCTCGGGCCATGTCTCTCTCCTGTCTCGGGCCGGTCTCTCTCCTGTCTCGGGCCGGTCTCTCTCCTGTCTCGGGCCGGTCTCTCTCCTCGGTCTCTCTCCGTCTCGTCTTCGGGCCAGTCTCTCTCCTGTCTCGGGCCAGTCTCTCTCCTGTCTCGGGCCAGTCTCTCTCTCTCTCGGGCCAGTCTCGGGCCAGTCTCTCTCGGGCCAGTCTCGGGCCAGTCTCTCTCTCCGGTCTCGGGCCAGTCTCTCTCCTGTCTCGGGCCAGTCTCTCTCCTGTCTCGGGCCAGTCTCTCTCCTGTCTCGGGGCCAGTCTCTCTCCTGTCTCGGGCCAGTCTCGGGCCAGTCTCTCTCCGGTCTCGGGCCGGTCTCTCTCCGGTCTCGGGCCAGTCTCTCTCCGGTCTCGGGCCGGTCTCTCTCCTGTCTCGGGCCAGTCTCTCTCTCTGTCTCGGGCCAGTCTCTCTCCTGTCTCGGGCCAGTCTCTCTCCTGTCTCGGCCAGTCTCTCTCCGGTCTCGGGCCAGTCTCGGGCCGGTCTCGGGCAGTCTCTCACCGGTCTCTCACCGGTCTCTCTCTCACCGGTCTCTCACCGGTCTCTCACCGGTCTCGGGTCCGGGTCCTCGGGCCAGTCTCTCTCCTGTCTCGGGCCAGTCTCTCTCCGGTCTCGGGCCAGTCTCTCTCCTGTCTCGGGCCAGTCTCTCTCTCTTCTGTCTCGGGCCAGTCTCTCTCTCGGCCGGTCTCTCTCCGGTCTCGGTCTCGGGCCAGTCTCTCGCCGGTCTCTCACCGGTCTCTCTCCGGTCTCTCACTCGGGTCTCTCACCGGTCTCGGGCCGGTCTCGGGCCAGTCTCTCTCCTGTCTCGGGCAGTCTCTCCTGTCTCGGGCCAGTCTCTCTCCTGTCTCGGGCCAGTCTCTCTCCTGTCTCGTTCTCTCCTCCTCTCTCTCTCGTTCTCTCTGTCTCAGTCTCTCTCGGGCCAGTCTCTCTCCTGTCTCGGCAGTCTCTTCCTGTCTCGGGCAGTCTCTCTCTGTCTCGGGCCGGTGTCATGGTTTATCATCATAATTAAAATAAAGTGGTATAGTTATGTTTACCTGAGCTGGAGGGAAACAAGCGGGTAATATTTTAAGATGATATATATGTTTTCTTGACCTCACAAAATCTCAACAGGATTTCAACTCAAAACTCAAATAGGTACTAAATACTACAACATCATAGTAAAGAATACATGATTACAAACCTTATACGTACAGCTTACAGATATTATATTTATAAGGTATAAGTAATATTGCACGCATAATTTCAATATGAAACATATATTTTCTTGTAAATATATTGCATGTTGTCCCTCTGCCTATATTTCTACTTTAGTGCTATAGCTTTCACTCTCGCCCCTGTGCCCTCTCTGATTGTGCTGTTCTCCTTGTTGGGCCTTTATTTGGCGTGTCCCTGGTGAATGTGACTAATCGCTCCTCTCTCTGAAGGTGGAATGGCACAGGGTCGCCTCCTCTGGCCCCTCCCTCTCTCCCACAGTCCGCTGGTGCACTGTCAGTGATTTTTCATCGCCCTTGTTGGAGCCGTTTTATGCATTGTTTCCCTGATGCAGTGATTGATGTGGGGGCTTGGTAATCTGGGGGAATAAGAGGCTGCTTGGTGGCCAAGCAGTCCCGTCTGTGTGTGACACGTGTCGGGGGCAGCGCTGGTTTTACCGGAGCCCCTCCCCTCTCCGCACCGACCTGTTTGGACGTGGCCATTGCTGAGACTGCTCACTCTGTGCACTCAGCCGGCCCTCATTTCCATTTCAATCTCAACCTCATGAATGCAAAAACTCAGGCCGAAAATTAATAACACCACACCGGGGAAAAGTGGGCGCATGGGAGCAGGCTGGTGAGACAGAGAGCGATGGCGAAGAGGCTAAACGCAGAGAATGCCGAGCTGTGGTTCCTTTCAGACCTTTTGTTCGCTCCAAAAGTCTCCCTTATTTTATTCCCCTCTCTCTTTCACCAGGATCGTCCAATGAATGGCATTACAGACAATGCCATATCCAGAGTGACACAAATTTATTTCAGCTGCAGCACCACAGTGTATTTCCACAAAACCAGGGGCGATTTGTCTGGGGACAATTTGGTTTCCATAAAGGATTTAAATGGTTTCTGTGGAGACAGTGGCGCAAAATTTAATTTGTTTCTCATTTACTACAGCAGGTATGAAAAGGAGAAAAATTGGACGGCTGATGGGCTAAAAATTGGTGCTGTCCCTCTGCTGTATCCCCAACGGACTAGGGCCCTGCATCATATAGATTGAGTTCGACCCCCCCGGAGCCCTCCCAACCACAAGCTGGCCAGCACACACGCACAGCCCAGGAGAGAGAGCCGTAACCTTAAACCAACTTAAACAGTAACCTTTGGGGAGGCTGCCAATCACTCTTAAAACAACGTTTCCATCGATCGGCCTGTCTGTGTGATTTATGGCCTCATTTTACACTAATTGAGAATTAGAGGGCGGATTAGTCGGCCTCAACACTTCGGCCTGATATGCACTCTGAGCAGTGTAATCTGTCACGCCGGGATGTCCAACACTCTCTTACTCACAAAGGGGGAGCAGGGGCGGGGAGCTAGGGATGGAGGGGGGTCTTTCTAATTGAATTTCCAGATAACACGGAAATTAATTTGACACCAGTGAAATTTGACTACCGCTCGCCCTCCTCCCCCATTGTTACATCTCTACCTCTGCTCTGTTTCTGCCAAGCAAACAGTATTGATCCAAATCACTTCAAGTTGAGCATGTGGAATTCCTAAATCATATTTGCTCTCATATTAGACCAGTTCATGCGCTGCTATCTTCGGCCACATAAAGAATATTACGTTTCAATTGCTTTGACTTTGTTTGGAGGGAATCTTCTCTCTTCCCCGGCAGGTGAATGCATGCCCAGAGTCAACAGTTGGAATTGAATTATGGCTGCGGCTCACCAGGTCCATTGTCTGGGTAATTTGTCGTATAAGTGGCAAAATGAAAGGACTCTCCACGGTTCTCTGAGCGCCTCCTGTTGTGTCACTCATCGCTGCAGACACACACACACTAAGGAAGGGAGAGAGAGAGACAGTGTTTCAAATGCTATCAAAGATCACCAGTTAAATTGTTTTGCCATAATGAACTCACAAGCCATTAAACGACTCATAATGTCATCAACATAGTCAACAACTGCCTCAGAGTAACACCTACTAATGTATCTGACATATCAAGACAGGGCACATAGACATCTTTATTTCTGGTCTGAAGATGCAGATTTGAGGAGCAACTGGGAAGAAATATAGTTGCATATTGAATTTCAGTTTTGTGTTCCAGTTTCAAATGCTTACTGTAAGTCTGGACAAACAGTCTACATTTTACTTTTGGTTTGTGCTAATAATGGCTAGTGCTTGTATTTTTACTTTTGCTGAATGTTAAATAATCTACTCCTCCCACTGAATAATACAAAACTTTGAAAGTTTTTTTTATATATGTAATGTGAGACAAAAAAGCTTGCAGTGCCCCTATTGTTGGGGAACACATACTACACCTAAATAACACCTACTATATACACTGATAAATACTACTATGAACTATAAAAAATACTATGAACTATAAAAATAACTAATAACTATAAATTTATACACATTTCATTAGATTTTTTTCATTTATTTACTTTTTAAATTAGACTTTGTATATATCCAGACAGTGAAATTACACAATAAATGTTATGAAACCACAACACCTAGCTATAGAACATAGTAGTTGCAGGGTAATTTTTTTTTCATTAAGAGGTGCTAACCACTGCTGGAGGTCTGGACATTACAAAATGCAGGAGAATAAAAAGACCCAACCTTTTAACTCCAGCGCACCTTAGAAACCTTGCTTTGTTCCTCTCATAATGTGTAGGAGTAAGTTAGCACCCGGGCTCTTTAGCAGGCTAAAAGATGCATTTATCTGTGTAATGAACTTTGGACGCGGGCTAACTTAATTCCCGTAATGCCTGCGAGAGTCAATTAGCCCAACTAGATTTAGTGCAGTATTTATCTGATAGAGCACACTCTGCAACTACACACAGTAGCACAGACTATTGGTTTAGCTTATCTCCCTGCTAATAGTACTACAGGGCCCATCACCAGCTTTACTCCATAAAAACATAAACAAGCCTGTGGGGAGTTGTAAAATTGAATATTTGCTGATTTGCAACCTTGAAGTGCCTATGAGATATTTTTATGATTCTCTAATTTTGACTTAATTTGGTGGGATGATAAGTATTGTAAATATAAATTTTAGTTTTACCCCAATCAAGATACAATTTGCGAAGTGAAGTTGAAAAATAAGTTGAAAATTACAGAAACTAGAGAGTTGATGATATCACACTAGGGAGAAATCTATCCAAAAGTTCAGCACAATCTACATGAAAGAAAGACATTTCTGATACTTTCAACATTAATTCAACAAAATAAAGGAGTTTTCTTACATTTGTATTTGTCAGATAATAGTTTATGTGCAAGTTAGAGGAGTTTTGCTTGTTAATAGTTATGGAAGTCCCAAACTGAAAGTACATTTTTGACTGCAAAAATTGCCAAATTTGGAAACAAATGTGAATCTTTTTGTAAAAATCTAGAATATAAAGATAATGTGTTTTTTAGAAAAAAATGATTTCCAAGATGTCTCAGGCACTTTAAAGGTGCACTGCGCAACTTTTCTGGTGGAGGGTCTTCTACCTGCTTGTTTCCATGGAGATGTTATTGCTGGAATGTTCCATGGTATGACATTAAACATATCCATCTTACATTTATTAATTAGGCATGTATAGGGGCAACCCTCCACAGATTTGAATTGTAATGTAACGTTGTGCGTCCTTTGTAACAGACAAGTTTAATCTATACTGTGGAACATTCTAGACAAAGCAAAGCCATTTCCGTGGAGACATCAGGTGGTGGACCCTCCACTAGAAATGTTAAACAATGCATCTTTAACAAGTCTTTCTGAGAGATGATGTTTGTCTGTGTCATTTCATTTGAATATGTTGACCTGTATTTTTCCTTCAATCATGCCTGGGGAACGGGGGGGTACACATTCGTACAGGTGACAGCACTTCACTCGACCCGTAACATAGAAACATAGCGCTGGGGTGTTCGCGTCCCCTATGACAGGCCTACTATTGCCTGGGAGTCTGTATAGAGAATAATAAATGACAGGATGTGATAACTCTGGGTTGTTAGCAGGCGCGGTCATGGTCTACACTGCCCTTCTTGTCTCTCGGGGGACGTGCGGATCTTCGTGCATGATGTATGTGTTCTCCAGCTGGGCCCTGACACAGACCTGCTTAACTTTTGCAGCCGATTGGAAAGGGGGCCATTGTCTGCAGCACAAAGGTCTCTATCGCGCTCATTGCTTATTCAGACCCACGGGACGGACGGTTGTGTGGGGGGTGCGTGCGGGGGGAGCGGAGCTGGGGGGATAACTGAGAGCCCGATGGAGCCTAGGTGAC